CTGAAGGCAGCTGGATAACCTGCTGGGGAGCTGCCTGGGAGCTGCCTCTTTCTTCTCCCAGGTGCCTGCCTCCCTGAGTTCTCCAGGCTGAGGGTGCCAGACGACCATGCGATCTCAGATTTAGCCATGTACAACTATGTAGAGGTAGGCGAGCCACACACAGCCATGTGGTCCCATGGGCCACGCACACAGTGGCACTCTATTAGGATGCGCACAGCGGGCAGGGTCTCTGGGAAGACTCTGGCTGGGCTCTCACCCTTCCAGACTAAGCCTAAGAGCTCCTTAGGAATGCCACTGGGGCTGGGGAGGCTCTGCTCCCTGCGGTGACCCCCAGGACAGGCAGCGGGAGAGCTAGCAAAACCCAGGGGAGCTCTGCCAAGATGCTCTGCAAAGGGGTGACGGTTGCTCTGTTGCAGATGCGTGAGCACGTGAATTCAACGTGGTTCATTTTCCGGAAGCACGTAGACAACTTCCTCCACACCCTCATGCCTTCCACCATTGTCCCACTGTACACCATGGTAAGGCCAGCACCTCAGTCCCCGCTGCCTGAGCCGCCGTGAGCTTCTCCTGGCTGGCTCTGAAGTGGTGATGTGCTTCTGCAACCCTCTCAGGTGACCTTCACCAGAATTCGCTACCATGAGGCACTTCAGCGCTGGAAATGGCAAAATAAGGTTGGTCAGTGGTGGTGCCTGTCCCTCCCCATGCCACGAGCCTTGTGGAGATCCCACGCACCAGCACTGCTCAGCTGCGGGGGGGGAGGTTTGATGGTGGGATATTGCCAGGTGGGTACAGGCATGAAGTCTTTGCTTGGTGCCGTGGGGTACGGGCAAACCTCTGACAGTGCCGGCATTTCTCTTTGCACTTGCAGATAATAAATCGAGGGCTCTTTGTCATGGGGGCAGCAGGACTGGGTGGCACCTGCCTGCTCATAAGGCGGCTGCCACGGGACTTGGACTTCTGCATGGAAAACTTGTGGGGCTGGCCCCGCTATCTGAAGAATATGGGAAATTTTCTGTTTGGCACACAAGTGGCTTAAATGTATGGGGAGCACCTGATTGTAATAAAAGTGAAGGCAGGGGCTGTTGGCTCAGCTGGACTGATGTTGTTTATGCTGGGATGTGTCTTGCCAGCTCCTCTCCCAGACGAGAGGAGCCCATTGGAGCACTGAGTGCCCGGAGAGCCTCTGCAGGGGCTCAGGCATATCCCTGCCTCACCTCAGCAGCCTTGTCTTGAGAGACATGGTGTGTCATGGGCTGGGTGTGCGTTTTGTGTGCAGTAGTGGGGGCAGCAGGATGGCCACTTGAACTGGTTGGCGTGTCCCAGCCTGTACCGCTGACTTCTGCTCTTACCAAAATCAACATCTTGAAAATCAGACGGCTTCCTTCCCACCCCAAGTCAAAGAAAATCTTGTTTGATTATTCTTGGTATAAACACAACAACTTGAAGAAAAGCTGTCCTGGGGCAGGGCTTGAAACCTGGAGAAAGAGCCATTCCACACCTGGCTGAAAAATACTTCTGACTTTTGCAAGCAGGTCTCCACAGAGGGACCACCAAGCCTTTGGGCTAAAGCAAGACCAGGGGCTTGAAGGACCCTCCCAAGTCGCTGTTTTCCCTCTGGGCTTTTGCATATGAGCCCTAGCATATACTTCCATCTAGTGCAATTACTGATCATATTTCTTTTTGAAAACATCTGATCCTTCATCAAATTTCTCTAATTGTTCTCTGAAGCATAGATGTGGTTGTACTTGTACCATGCACACAATACCAGCAGTAAGACCTGATGTAAGCTGCTGATGGTGGAGGTATAGATAGTCTTTTCATGTTCTGGTGATGACACCCTCTGCCTGTGTCCCTGCAGTGGGCATTGCATCCAAGCCCCAGAACCCTAACGGGTGCCAGTGGTGTCTTTGTGCAGCCAGGCGCGGGGTGCACTGGACCTAGACCAAGTTGGGGGTCCTTGAGCCAAAAATAGCTGCAGGCTGGGATAGTATTGGGGGGAAGATCAGACACACTTTCCTTCTTTCTACCTTGCCCTAGACCCTCCCAGTCACTGTTGAAGAACAGCAAAATGGCCCAGATTAAGCCCTGATGTGACGTGGTACAGCCACTCTTGTTGAAGGTAGTTTACATCCAGCTGCCAGCAGATGCGCAGGGACAAGAACTGGTTTCCATCATGTACCGAGTTGGTTTTGGCTCGCAGGGGAGCACCTTTCAGGATGTAGATGGTAAGTTTGCCCAGAAGGCAGTTTGTTTCTCTGGCCAGCGTCTTTCCCAAGTAATCTATCTACGGGAGATGCTGGCAGGAATGACAGGATTTTGCTGCAGTTTCTACAATGAGCACTTCAGCTGCCACCTTTGTACCTGATTCTTAGCGGGACAGATGTATTTACTTTATATATTAATTTTTATTAACGTTAAACCTCTTAAGAGCAAATGAAGATGTGACACAATGCAGCTATATGCAAATTATTCCCCAACTTGAAGCAAATATGGAACTGTACCGCTATCTCACAGGAATGACCCCAGAATGTAAGAGAAATTAGCCGCTGTGTGTGGTTTGGAAAAGTGCTGAGCCAGAGATGCTCCGGGTACTGCCAAGTCTTTTGGACGCCTGGCCCTTGGCACGTCTGATGCGTTTGCAGAGCAAGGAAAAGATCTCGCCCTGGGGGGTGGTGGAAGAAGCTGTGGCTGAACTCTGAGCTGCAGGCAAAGTTTCATGTGCTTGGTGCTGATGTTTCAAAGTTCAAACAGTTGCTCCTTTGCCTCCTTGTCATGCAGAGAGCTCAAGCCCTGGGGGAGGTAAGCCAAGCTTGCAGGAACCCAAGTAGAACCTTGCCCGAGGTAGGTCTGAGCACTGGGAAGCAGCTGATGATCTGGAAAAAAGATTTAGTGCAGGTTTCCCAGCTGCTCTTCATCTCCGGGTAGAGGTGCTCACTAGCCCTTAGGGCCCATTGCCTCACTGCAACCTCCAGAGCAGATCACCAGCCTGGAGAACCCTCCACATCCAGCTCAGCAGTGAGGGCTTCAGAAACTAGTGCAAACATGGTGGTGGAGACCAGCACAGCAGGGGAAGGCATGGAGCAGGCTGGAAGCAGATCATGCTAGAGGAGAAGGGAAATGGCAGTGCTGAAATCCCAGCTCCAAATCAAAGCTGGAAGTACTCAGCTAGTTTTGGGGCTTGGTGTCCGAGACTCCTGCCAGAAGGTAAACTTATCATGAAGAGCTGAGACAGTCAGTAACCGGTACAGGAGCTGTTGCGTGTGCCTGCTGGTGAGACCTGCTTTGCAGTTCCACCCACGGCAAAGTTGTGTCTGTTCCCTTCTCCCAGCTCCGCTAACCCCACCGTCAAGCACTGTGCCAGGAGACAGACGTGGTGCAGCCCCTCAGCCAACACCAGATGTGCTGGTGGCCTCTTGGAAGAAGGGAACAAACCAACAGGATAAAGAAGAGGAGGCAGGAGCCTTAGGTTGAGATTTCCTTAGCTTGGCATTTCCTTATCCAATAGTGGTGGGTCCTAGCGCTGCCAGGCATTGATCCACATCATTGCCCATCAAACCTGGGGTTGACGACCGTGGTGGTGGCACTCTTGAAGAGAGGGTTATCAGCCTGGAGGGAGAGAGGCGAGAGGCCCGTGTTGTTGTGCTGTATCAGATCTTCCATGGCGCATTACCCACCCCACCACTCCCAATGTCAGTGGTGCAGACAGCATTAGCAGAGGAGCCCACAGGCTGCTTTAGCCCCCTGCAAAATCCGGCCAGGTTGTGAAACCAGCCAGTGGGGACAGCTCAGGTCTGCCACGGCTCCCTCTGGAGAGGATGTCCCCTCCAGGTGTCCCTACCACATGCGCATGAACATGCCAGCACAGCCCACCACCACGGACAGGCTTTCTTACATCGTTCCACTTGGCTTTGGACTTCTCCTTCTCGAAGCGGCGGTATTCCCGGCGGTCAAACAACTCCGTCAAGAGCCGCCAGATCAGCAGGAGCACCAGGCCGATGAGGGCCACGCCAGCAACAGTGCTACCCACAATCAGCGCAATGTTAGGAGGCTCGGGACACTCTGTGGGGCAGACAGATGGCGTTTGGCTGCAGCCCTGGAGAGGCAGTGAGGCTGCTATGGCAGAGCCGGCAGCCAGCCCGCAGGGGAGCAGGGCTGGGGTACCTTTTTCAGAATCGACGGCAACCGTATATATGTCCATGCCATCCTCCTGGACCATGCGGAAGGACATCCAGCAGTTCTGGGAGTCTTTCTCCTTGCACTGCCTGCTCGTCCCCACCAGCTCCTCGGCCACATGGATGTTGGGGCAGGCCTGGGAGCAGTTCTTCGCAAAGGGGCCACTCTCGAAGGCCTTGCACTCCACGCAGGAACTGCAAAACAGGCAGATACAGCTCACCTCTGCAGGGACAGGGGCCCTCTCCCCCGCCTTTGGCTGCGGCTGAGCCACTTGTGTGGGAGGTGGGGAGGATTCCCACCACTCCCGGGCCACCTGGATCCCCACCACCCCTGGGTCATCTCTGCGGGTGCCACTCACACATATTTGCCACAGGGCGAGGGGCAGCCAGGGCACTCCAAGCAGAAGGGGGGCTGGTATCCCCCCCAGCACTGGCAGCGGTTGCAGTGGCAGGTCCCCCGGAGGCTGCACTCGTTGTTGCGGATGTTCAAGCAGTTCTTCGTCGACTTCTTGCACTGGCAGGCGCTGCCCTGGTAGTCAGCTGTGCACTTGCACTCCCCGCAGTCGCAACTCCCGCGCTCTGTGGGAGAAGACCTTTCACACCCAGATCCTACAGAGAACAAGGTCGCCCTCCCTCTCTCTGTGCTTGGACAACATCACCCACCCTGTGCTCTCCATGCCAGCCCCCATGGGACGGTTGAGGAGGTCCTGCAGTGGGACCCAGGACCCCCAAACCCACCCACATGGCTTTTGGAAGGGAAAGGCAGCATCTCCCATGGGATTTAATCTTTCTAAGCAGTCACCCGGTGGAGAACCCATCCTACAGATGCATCACCTTTTCCGCCGCAGAGTAAGCCATTGTGAAACTCGCAGTTCATGTTGTCGCACTCGCAGTAGGTGCCATAGATCTTCTTGTCAGGCACGTCACTGGTGTGGCAGAAGCACTGCCCGCACACACAGTCCCCCAACCCTGAGCAGATGAGTGAGCCATTGTCCTTCCGGCAGCTGCCCTCCAGCTCCTTGCTGGTCTTGCCTTTGGTTTCGCACTCGCAGTTCTTCCCTATGTAGCCCGGATTGCAGCTGCCATCAAAGGAGAGGAGCGAGCCTGGATCAGTGGCCACAAGAAACGTTGTGGGGCCCAGATGTCAGACAAAGCAGAGCAAATCTGGGACAGCCTCCCCAGAACCCAACCACAGCGTGTTGGTGCTAACTCTGTGATGGAGCAGGTCGGCTGATCAGGAGGAAACCTCAGAAATGCTGCTCTCCCCACTGGTCATATTTACAACACCAAACGGTTGCCCGGAAATTATTGTTATATTTATAATTTCCAAACCCCTGCCAAGGAGATGTGAGTGTTTCCTGAGGAAACCCAGTCTTTTCCTCTCCCTGTCACTGAGGGGCCATGAAGCAATAATTGCACTTCAAGACCTGTGTGAACTACAACCCTGAAGATTTAGAGAGATTTCTACAGAAATCTGTGTCTGCTTGATGGGTGGGTTAGTGGATGGTTGGATAGTTGGATGGATGGGTGGATAGCTGGATGAACGGGTGCGTGGGTGGATGCCCTTAGTAAAGCAGCAGAGACTCCACCAACAGACAAGAGAGCTCACTGTGTCCCCTGCCTCCATTAATGTAAACTGCCTCTCTGAATAAGAAAATTGGGGCAAAGCTCCAGAGCCAGGCCATGACTGATTGCCACATGTACATCCCTCTGCTGAGCCCTCACCCAGCCCCACGTTCTCCAGCTGCAGAGGTGCTTGGAGGAACCAAGCGCACCACACCGCTGCCCTCAGCTTGGCACAACGGCTCTCTCCTAGCAGCTCCCCAGCTCTGTCAGTGGTTGAGATAGTGTTTTTGGGGGACAGCACATACCTGCAGATCCCACAGACGATGGTGCCGTTCCCACTGCAGGCGCTTGGGTCGGGCTGCTCATTGCAGTGGCAGTCGCAGTTGCTGTCCAGGTGGACGGTGAGGGTGTCTTTGAAGCCCAACGGCCGGATGGTGAAGGACTGGCTTTTGATGCACTCTTTGGCCGTGATCTTCACTTTGAAGATGACCTAGAAAGTCCAGAGTGAGAAAGGGAAGAGCCAGAGGCCATCAGGTAACTTCAGCAACCAGAGGGTGGAATCAAGCTCTGGGCTGAGCACATGCACATCCAGTGCAATGGAGGATTCTTCCATCAAGCAGCATTTTGATGCTCTTGGTATTCAATTAATGTAAACAGAAAGCCCAGAACAGCAGGCTGGGTTCCTGCCATTAAACAGGATGGGCATCAGGAACCTTGTGAGCTGCGGGGCGTTCCCAGGACGGGGGAACGTACCTCATCATTGATCTTGACGTTATCGCACTGCCCTCTCACTTCATCTGAGATGTTCTCACCCTTACTGCATATGGAGTCATATTTGACATCCAGGACGTCTGGCAGGGTGGAGTGGTCCAGGATGATCCGTGAGGAGAGGTTCTGTGGGGAAACAGTGGAGAAAGTGCCATCAGTCCAACAGGAGACCAAAGCAAGGGGGTGTGGGGCTGCAGATCAGGGCTTCCCCCCAGCTCGGGAAATAGGGGCAGGGAGAACCCCAGACCAGGGTCTCAGTCGCCTGGGGTGGTTCTGGAAAGGCAGGTGATAGCATTGGAGAGGCAGGAACCTCTTGCTTGCTGTGGGCAGAGGGACTCAGCATGTCCTGTCCTCAGAGCACTGGACCCAGCTGCTCTCTGACAGTGAGGATGCACGATGGGAACTTTTCCCTTCTCCAAGTCCTGCAAGGCAGATGAAACACAACCTCCTCTAGCACTTACGTTGTAGGCCTCCTGGATGAGTTCAATTATGTTGCTGGAGTCCTCATTCAGCTCTCCCACCGCTGACTTTGGGATCATCTCACTGAGTTTCTGCCAATGGAGAGCAAAGAGGTGAGCGGTCCTCCCTGTGTGATGGCAGGGCAGGGGACAGCAGCAGGAGGACACACACAGCTGTTTCTGTCCTCGTGAGGAGGGACGGGAGGCACCTGGACCATCTGAAGTCTCCTTACCTTGTAAACATCCACCACCTTACTGGTGACAGCAAAAATGGGCTGAATGTTGTTTTCAGCGAGTTTCTCGACCAGCTGGCCTACAGACGGGTAGTCCTAGGTGGGGAGAGGCACATCGTGCTCAGTGTGATCGCCCCCACCAGCAGAAGGGTGGACAGTTTGGGTTTCACAGCCCAAATTATCATGATTATGGTGACCTTGCGGTCTCAACAACAGGCTTTTTATGTGACTTTTTTTCTGCCTGAGGGAGCAAGGCTGAGGGTGCCAAGTCGCTGAGTGGCCCCCGGGTACTTACAAACTCGTTGCTCTTTTTGTACATGTTGTCCTCCAAGTGGCACTGGCCGTCATTGGGGGTCAGGATGGCCCCAAGCTTGCCATCACCAGCAAAGTGGAAGCCATCATCGGTAGCATACACCAGCAAGCGGGTCACATTGCGCCAACCGATCAAGTCCTGCAAGTGGCATGGAGATCTGTCCCTCAGCGAGGCTGGGATGATGGTGCCAGCGAGCATGGTACGGCCCTTGCCAAAGCACAGCATGTCTTATGTTGGCCATGGTGTGGGGCAGCGGGCATGGAGGAGGCGGGTTACAGGAGATCAGGGGGCTGTGGTAGGATGCTCTCTTGTACCCCACCCCAGAGTAACCTGTTCCATTGCTAAATCAAGACTTATACACAATGGGCTTCCAGAGCCCACCTGGAGAGGGGCAGACCCACCTCCTGCGGGACAGTGCGTGAGCCCTCACACCTACCCACAGCTGCCAGACTTACCCCACACACCGCTGCCTGCATCATGGCATCCAGCCCCCCTTCTGGGGCATCCAGGTTCCCCGAGATAAACTGCTTCCCCACTTCGCTCTCAAACTTCTGGGCATTGTCGGTCAGCGAGAGGATGTGCTTGAAGGCGAAGGGAGGCTGGCATTGCTCATCCTTGTTGGGGCAGGGGTTTCGTAGCTTCTCGGGGTGTGTGTTCACAAAGGGCAGCACCGTCTTGTCCACGAAGGAGCCAAACCCTAGGGCGTCCAGGACCACAGTGTCAGGGGCAGGGGCAGGCAGGGACAGGCAGGTGTCCCTGTAGCAGAGGCCATGGACGATCTGTTGGCCCCCATGTATGTGTCCACCACACCCCTTGCCCCGACACGCTCTCCAGCCTGGCAGAGAACAGGTCATGCTACCTGCTACCTGCTTCCCGCTCCATCCCTGAGGCTCTTCCTGGCAGCAAACAGCTGTACCAGGGTCCTGTGATGGAGACAGGCTCACCTATGCGGCGAGAAGGGGTGGTGCTCTCCAGCGCTCTGAGCAGCTCCCCTCCCAGCTTCTTCACCTTCTCCAGGTCATCCAGCATGGAGTAGGAGAGGTCCATGAGGTAGTAGAGATCAATGGGGTACCCCATGGCGCGGCGAAACTTCACCTCAAATACAGCAGGCTGGCCTGCGGGACGGGGATGCCAGGATCAGCTGCCGTGCTGTGTGTCACACCTCAGCCCCCCCATCGCCCACCCCCTGCTGGGATCCTCTTCTCTTTCAGAAGAAAAGGGGAAGAAATGCAGCCTGCAACCTGCTGCCCTGTCCCAGCTGCGCCTGGGGGCAAGCAGAGGGGCATTGGGAACGCGAAGCAGACTGTACCTATCCTCAGTTTCAGGTGCACCTCCTGGGGAGTCAGCTGTATGTCATTGCTTAAGGGACTGTCCTGTATCCTTGTAATGTTGTTGACTGGAAACTCAATCTCATTGTGAGGGCATCCCCTCTGCTGCAGCTGCTCGATGGTGTCGCAGCGGACGGAGTCTGGCTCACCAGCTTTGGTGAAATTCTGTGTGTTGCAACATCAGCAAGAAAAAAAAATCAGAGGAGCAGGAGGTGAATGGGCTCATTACAAGATGACCCAGCTCCCAAATCACATCCCCGTGGTACTGATGGAGAAAGCAAGGTTGAAGGGTCCTGTTTGTCAGATTCCTCCTGGCCCCATCCACCATGTAGGACACGAAACCCTCCCATGACGCAGTCTCCCCCTCCACCGCTCTGGGTGGGCAGGGTGACCTCCCACTGCCTGTTAGCTGACTGTGACAGCATGAGAGGCTACAGGGACCTACCGGCTTCTTGCACCAGGCGCAGCCGGGACCGGACTGGATGCAGTCCCTGCACGTCCCCACGTTGATCTTGGGGCACTCCATGGCAAAGGCTGAAATGAAGAGAAGACAAAAGTTGGCACGGGGGGACTCAGGGGAGGCTGGTCTGCAGCGGTGGCAGCCATGGGGTGGGGACCCTGGCAGGGTCCTCACCTGCCTTCCTGTCCATCACCTGGCTGGTTCAAGCTAACTCCAGATCCTGGGAAATGTGGGATCTGGCCCTTGCACACCTCTCAACACCCTGTTCCCATCACTGTTGGGCAGCACTTGGGTTTTCCCCCTATTTCACTGCTGACGTAAGGTGCCTGGGGGAAGGCAGCAAGGAAGGGCAGGTGGGGCTTACCTGTCATGCCCAGCAGCAGCACCCAGGTCACCGCTGGCAGCTGGAGGCAGCAGTCATGCGACATTTTCTGCAAGGCAAAAAAGCATCCCTATGACCACCTGGTGCGTGGCAGCCACAAGGAAGGGAGGACTCAAACCCAATAGAAAGTGGCTGCAGAGGACAGTGGCCCCAGGAGGACATGTCCGTCCTCCAGCTGTCCTACTGTGGGCAGAGCCTGAGAGCGTGACCCTGCCTCAGCCATGGGAGTCGGGCAGCGGGGGCCAGGGCAGCCACCCTGGGTGTGCGGACTGACTCAAGACGGGTGCTCGTGTGGTCTTACAAAAATAAGTTGGTTTCAAATAAACATAGGTTTTGTACTAAATGTGGAAGTCAGCAGAGCGGGAAGTTGCACTGTGTTGCCATGCGTTCAGCAGAACTGCTGCAGAGCTTAGTGTTTATCCAGACTCTTTGACCTATACGATTATGTAACACTGGAAAATCTCAAGCACTGCATGAAGTTTTTACTAGATGTGAGTTTTTTCAGCTTTTGTGTTGAGCCATATTTGTATGGAAATTGGAATCAGCACTAACAAAAGGACAATTTCTATTAATTAACTGTCAAGGTGTGCTAGATACATGGGAAAAAAAGTCTGCTACTACTTGCTTCACATTTAACCAATTCATCAAGGAAATGAAGTATTTCATGTAGTGAATCAATATCAGTTTTCCTGATGAGGGTTTCCAACAAGCGAGGGCTTCCAA